TTAGGGAGATACAGCCATTATGCACATTACCTCATACCAAATGATGCCTGGGAAGGTCCAGAGTCAACCAGTTTTAACCATAGTGAGAATATATTTGGATTCCACTAAGGCATTCCTAACTCAGGGAATTAGAAACAACATTTTTATTCAGGGAAATGAGTCCCAGTATTCCCTTCACTGGTCAGGAGACATCTATAGCAGCAGCAGCAATAAACTTAAGAACCTGAGCTTCAATTCTAGCAAGTGAAGTTCTGCTTCACCTCCTCCAGGCTTCCAGTAAATTAAAACTCTGGCCCCAGTTCTTGGACCCCTGACTGCCACCTGTTAGTGGTTTTCTCTGACACTCCTATGTCTCATGAAGAGTCTTGCAGGACCTCTGTAGTAACAATCACCACCTATCTCATTCAAGTTCCACATCACACCTATATGATCATACCCTTCTCATGCTGGTCACAACCTGTCAGTCTAGACCTTGCTACATACTACCCTGAAAATCTGCCCAAGTCATCTGAGCCTCCCCAGAAGGTGTGTGGTAGGGTCTTGTAGTCCCAATCTGTCCTGTCTGAAATCCTCCAAGTCCCTGCTCTGGTTCCATGCTGAGCCCACAATAGCTCAAATTGTAACTGCAGTGCCTCCAACCTCTGGTTTGGTAAGTAGGCATCAGTGGCCAGGAGTTGTAGATGGGCTAGATGTAACCCCAGACTGGCTCACTGGAAAGGGGGAAGGGAAGACTTTGACCCAGAAGTCTTTTGTTTATGATTTAAACTCTCCTCTGGCTTATAAGCTCCTTAGCCTGTGCCCAGCAAATACAAAGCCACCATCTGCTAACTCATGGACAGCCAAAAGGCATCTTGGCTTGGGCTCAGATTTGCTGTGTGATTTGGAGAAGCCATTCTTCCTTCATCTGCACTTGGGGCTAATACCACCTACCTTACATAGCTGTTAAGAGAATCAAGGTGCTGTTAACCCCTACAATATCTAGAAAGTTGTAGCTACCATTGATTACAGGAAAGAAAGTTTTTGTGCAACATCCAATCTCAAGCACATGTGGAATCCAGAGAACCAGGCAAAAATGTGTTTTATTGTCTCCCACCCAGTTGCCCCTTTGCCCATGGAGACCCAAACCTGAATGGGAGTCTCATATCTCCCTGATCTCCGTTCTCTTCCTCTTCTTTCCCTCTGTTCTAACCCAAAGAGCCCTGGCCCTGCACTCACAGAGAGCCACACCACTGGACCAGGGTGACCATTTTTCTAGTTCCAGTTGGATGTGTGAATGCAAGTTTTCTCCACCCCGTGATGGCTGTGACATACCAGCAAAGGTCATAAGCAATCCCAGATCATTGTGTCAATCTCCGTGGCCTCGTGAACTATTTCCTGGCTTCATCTCAGGCCCCCCTCGCCTTTGCTGATGTCGCCCCTCCCCTTGTGTAACTGTCAGTCATGTGGCTCCACTTCACAGGAAACTGGACAACGAGGCCTGATCTTAAAGGATCGCTAATATGGCAGGACAGAAAGGGGCTCTCTCCCTGTAAGGAAACCACGTGAGCCTGGAGGTACCAGGGCCCTGTTGATGCCATATGGAAAGAACCGGCCTCAGCCAATAAATACAGTGGAACATAGACAAGAGTGATGGGAAGTGGCTGAGGTTTGGTTCCCTAGAAGAAGGGCCTGAGGAAAAGATTCTTATCTGAGCTATTTATTAAAAAAATGAGTCTCAAAAAGCGTGGGAAGAGTCTGTTGAGGAAAGTAGGCTAGGACAAGGAAATAAAGCTAAGCAAGGATATGTCTCTGCTGGGGTTCGTCTTTTGCTTGATTCCCACAGAGAACTCTGGAGCAAGAATTACTCCTCAAGGTTGGTTGTGCCTTGTGGCAAGGGGGCCAGACCTTTGTGCCTCGAGTTGACCAATTAGTGGCCGTGAGCTATTCCCGAAATAATGAGATGGGAAGGGGTGTAACCTCCCAGGCAGGGGAGGAGGGCGTGAACGATAAAGGGAAAACATTGACAAGCTGGGGAAGGATTTACTGCCTGCTACAGTGGATCTGGGTGGGACACTGGATCCACTACAGGGAGAGAGGGAGAAAGTCCTGGTGAAAAGTGCAGTGACGAAGGGCCTGCAACTGTGGAGTCAAAATACCTGGGTTCACATCGCAGTTCTGCACTTGGCTCGATGTATCATCCTGGGCAAGTCACCTAACTTTTTTTGTGCCGTGGTTTCTTTATTTGTCAAATGGGGCTGCGAGTGATACTGACCCGATGAGAAAATGTGCATAAAGCCCATAGGCGAGTGCACGCCACACAAAGCAGTGCTCAGCCCTGCAGCGAGCAAAAGCAGCCCCTAGGACACCCCGTTCCTAGGACACCCCATTCCCAGGACATCTGAGGAACGCACAACCCAGCCCCAGACCCTGCCCAGCTCCTCTTGCAAAGGGAACATGAGAAGAAAAAAAAAAAGTAAACAACAAAAACGTCTAGGAGTCTCATGCATTACTGGGGCTTGATATTACCAGGAACAAGTGTCCCTAGAGAAGCATTTTTCAGAGACACTTAGGGGGGGGGGGAGGGGGGAGGGGAAAAAAAGGAGAATTGTTCATTGGACACTCCCTGGAGTGATTTCTGAGGGTTCATATCTAAAGGCAAATACAGTAAACTGTCCCCCCTAAGGAGTGACCCAGTGTACCAGAGGCTCTGAAAATATGCAGATGGAATTTCTGGGATTCGTGATGTTGCAATGGGTTGTTTTCTCCTTTTTTCAAGGGGCAGCCCCAAGGGATCTGGCAGCAAGCTTTCTCAATATCACAGATAAGCAAAGAGCAGCTGAAAGAGGCTCTCTCGCCAGTCCCCGAGGTACAGCCGGCCAGGCGAGTGTCGTAGCTCAGCACACAGAGGGATGCGACTGGCATTTACTCTGGCGATGCAACAGAGTCTAATCCTCTGGCCTCTGACCCTGTACTATATTCCAATAGGTCAGAGCATCCTTGCTTGGTTTCCCTAATGCACATTATCTTCTCTGGTCAATAAAACCCCCCTCTGTCTCTATGCTGGCAATAGATGTGAAGGTCAGCTCGCCCCCTCTGGCGGCAACAGTGTCTGAGCTGTCGGTGGGAATTTAAATTAAGGATATAGGTAATCATTTCACTGCTTTTAGGCAAAAAAAAAAAAAAGAAGATCCGTTGCTTTGGCTGCAATCAGATTCTTGGAAGAGAAGTGAATGTGTCTCTGTGCTCCCAGGGGACAGTGTTTTAAAGTGCTCGAGAAAGTGCTAAAGCACACGGGGCTTTACATGTTAAATCTCCCCTGGAGAGATGCTTCGTCGATTACATCTTCCCTGTAGTGAGTCCCCTTCTTTCTCAGCTTTTGCTGTCACTGTCACGTCCAGTAGATGGGAGAAATCATGGTTAGAGTGCAATGAGTTTCTACCAAAAAGAAGTGACAGGCAGAGGAAGGCAAGGGGAAATGAAGGGATCCCTTCTGAAGAAGCAGGAGGAAGGGACTGCGTGTGAGTCTGGGGGCCTGGGTCCCGGGCCAACCCCGCCACTGGCCAGCCTGGGACCCTGGGGGGGGGTCCATTAACCTCTCTGGGACTCTGAGCTCTTGTCGGCAAAATCATTCCATTGAGGTTAAAAGTTCTCTAAGATCCTCTCTGGTTCCAGTGTTTCCTGAGCTTGTAAGTTATTTCCACTTACAGCTGTTTAGGGTACGCTCGTCTCATTTCAGAAAGACAGGGGCTGAGAGATGTGGTTTGCCCTCGGAGTTCTCGAATCTTATCAAGTTGAGCTGGAACGGAGCACCGCAGATTGTCCTGTCCAACCTGCTTATTTTGAAGATGGAAAAACTAAACTGACTTTTCTACTTGGCTTTTTAAACCAAAAATTTTCTCTTGATCTTCTTTTTTTCTTGCTTTCTTTCTTCCCTTCCTAGCTCCCTTTGCTTGACCTCTGTTTTCAACTGTTGATGGAGTGTCTTCAAATTCAGTTCAGATTTTCTCAAGAAGTCAGTGAGAAATAGAGGCAAGGATTAGAGAGAGGAAGAACTGATTCACACTTCTTTGAAGAGTCAGAGCAAGATTCTGATAGTGTGTATTATACACAAATAATTGCCAGGATGATGAAAGATTTAATTGCAAAAATCAAAACCCCCAAACAATGTAGTACTACATTTAAATATAGATAAATATCTATTTAACTTTGTTATGGGTGAGAATTTCTGAACATAATACTAAAGACAGAAACCATAGATAAGTAGATAAATATAGTGCAATAGTATAAAAATTAAAAAGAATTATATACCAAAAATACATGCACAAAATTAATGTCAAAAGAAAGCCACAGAAAAAAATGTATAATTCATGGAGCAGATGAATTTAGTCTTCTCCATCTATTAAGGTTTCTTACAACTTAATGTGAAAAATATGTACAAATAGTAAAAGGAACAAAAGACATGAATTGATGAGTCATGGAAGAAATAAAAATGCTCCCCCTCAATAATTACCAAATAAATACCAATTTAGAAAGCTATCAGATGTGTTTTGTTGATAAAGTTGACAAGGTTTGTTTTACTTTAGTTTTCTAATAGTGACAATAGCCGGCATTGGTAAATGTGCCCAAATCTTCCTGGTAGAAGTGGAAATGGATATCCTTGGCAACATGGCAATGCATACAACAATCTTTAAAACTGAGTATACCCTTTAACCTACAAGTTCTACCTGTAGGAATTCTACATTTAGGTATTTATGCCAAGTAAATAATCAGGAATGCCTTACCAGAGCCCCCTTCAGCACCTCCTATAGGGTGAAGTCACACCCGAGCTTTGGGGTGGTTGGGCTCTCGTCTATGCATACCCACAGGGGTACCTTAAATCGACAAGGCTTCCTCTCTATCTCATTGTCCCAAGCTCACCAACAGTGCCATGAAAGGGAGACCCTGTGTATTAGTCTTCCCAGGCTGCCATAGTGAAATCACACAGACTGAGTGTCTTAAACAATAGAAACTTGTCTACTCACAGTTCTGAAGGTTAGAAGTACAAGATTTCCAGTTTCTGGTGAGTCTTCTCTTCTTAGCTTATAGACAGTTGCCTTCTCATTATTTCTTCACAGGGAGAGAGGGAGAACTCTCTAGTGTCTCTTCTTTCTCCTGTAAGGATGTCGGTTCTATGGGATTAGGGCCCCACCCTAATGACCTCATTTAATCTTAATTATATCCTCAAAAGCCCTATCTCCAAACGCAGTCACTTAGGAGGACAATGTATGAATTTTGCGGAGACAAAATTCAGTCCCTAACACTCCAAGTGAGCCTATTTCTTTGCTCATTCGATTGTTCAGTTAACCAATATTTATCAAGCAACTGCAATTGCAAAGCCACGTGCTATGTCTGGGATGTGTGTTTATTATGCTCGTCTTTTTTTCTTGCCCTACAGAGTGTATGAATTTGGGCCAAGGTTATATCTAATCCAAATTCTCAAAGTTCCATACCCAAAAACAGAAAGACAGAAAACGTATGTCCACACAACAACCTGAACATAAATGTTTACAGCACCTTTATTTATAATTGTCCAAACTTGGAAACAGCTGAGATTTCCTCCAGTAGGTAAATGGGTAATCAAAGCAGTACATCCACCTAATGGAATATTATTCAGTAAATAGAAAGAAATGAGCTATCAAGTCACAAAAAGACATGGAGGAAACATAAATGCATATTACTAAGTGAAAGAAACCAGTCTGAAAAGGCTACATACTTTCTATATTAAATCAAGTATATGACATTCTGGAAAAGACAAAACTATGGAGATAGTAAAGAGATAGTGGTTTTCAGGGGTTAGAGGAAAGAGAAAGATGAATAGGTAGAGCACAGAGGATTTTTAGGGCAGTGAAACTATGCTGAATGATAATGTAGTGGTAGATAGTTGTCATTATCCATTTGTCAAAACCAGTAGGAGGTACAACACCAAGAGTGAACCTTAATGTAAACTATGGACTTTAATTTGTAATAATGTATCAGTATCAGTTTATTGATTGTACCAAATATGCCTCCCTAAGGCAGGATGTTAATACTATGAAAAATAAGTAGGAGGCGGAGAGTGGCATATGGGAACTGTCTGTACTTTCTGCTCATTTTTCTGTAAACTTGAAACTGCTCTAAAAGATAAAGTCTATTGATTTATTTTTTAAAATGGAGAAAATTGAAGGGCAGAAAACATTGCTGTCCTAGCCCTTCCTCCACTCCTTATACACATACACATTCAGTCAGCCATCACTGAAAGGGCTTCGAGAAGCTTCAAATCTGAATATTTTAATACTTGGGACCCTGCCCCAGGCTGCCCCTGTGGGATCATTCTTCCTTCCAGTTCAGCCTGGATGAACTTTGTCCTAGTGTGCTTGCCGTGATTTCACCTTCTCAAACATCATTCCGCAGAGAAATGCAGCCAAGGCCTCCACATTTACTGCTATCAAAGTTCACTACCTGACTGATAAAAGACTCCAAGACAGCCCCTGGCGTGGTAAGTGAGCTCTGGAAACACCTTGTGAAAAAGGTGATCCCCACTTCCCCAAAGCTGCCTTTGTTCTCTAAACCACTTAAGAGGCAGGAGAGTGGCCTCAAGTCACAGTGGAGCTTCCCTTGGAGGTCAGCGGTAACAGGGAAAAAAAGAAAACTGGAAAGGAAATTGCTGGGGATTTCAAGTTAGCTGATTTGGGGATTTTCTTTTCCAACTTGTGTAATAGAGGCCCATTGTCTTTTAAAATAGAAAAATCTGAGTCTCAACTTTGATGCCTTATGAATGGGGCCAGGAATCTGTTACATAATATGACAGTTAAAATCTCAAAGGCTTTTCTGTTGTATTCCGATGCCCACCACTCTGCCTGGTCATCAGACCTTCACATGGACATGGCATGTCACGTCCGCTTGGCAGCTGTGGGTGTGGGGCTGACCCTGGCCTGCCGTCCCCTCCATGGGCCTCGGCGGCTGGCCCTCTGGACAATGGACGAGGAAACATTTCATCTGGTCTGCAGGGACACAGGACAAGAGGCACTGTTCCACTTCCTCTTCTCTCTTCCTCGAACATATAAAGATATCTGATTAGCCAATGGCATTTTGGCATTAAGGAGAAAGACATAAACCCAATGACAAGCCAAAAGAGCAAGTACTGTTTTCAGATACTATATCCAAATTGGATTTTGGTTATTAAAAATTTACTCTAGGTATTTGGGCCTTTAAGAAATACCGTAATTACAGGTCCAAATTAATGTCTTAGCTAAAGGCAAGCCCCTTCACTGTCCCAGAATGGGCAATAATGCATGAGGGCCATTTGCCTCAGAAAACGGTCCAGTTGCAGATGGTTAGGAGGATGTCAGAGGCCAAGCCACAGTGGCACTTCTCCACCTCGCATTGAAACAGTTATTCTGCTCCCTTGCAAGGGAAAGAGTGCATTACTGTACAAAGATTGCATGAAATGGTATTCTAAGTGGCCTTAAATAGTTAATAGACCTCTCTATGCATCTACCTTTCTCCTGGGGAGGGATTCAGACACAGGGGATAATGGGACCTATACCATATTATCTGTACCAGACAGACTCCCAGATAGCCAATGGGAGCTCCATGTCTAGCCCCTTAATGGTATCACTGCAAATTGAAATGCATTTAGCAACTCCATCTCTAAACTCCTAGTCAAAATTGAAGCTGTGTCTAATCAACTGGAATGACAAGACCATCGAGCAATAGAATCTGTCACTTTGGATCACCATGGCCTATCTACTCAGTCCAGATGGATGTGCCTCAAGTCCCTGACCACTCGGAGAGTGATGCACTGTTAAGATGGTGCAGTGGCCAGCTCAGTGATGTCTCGGGCTGATCGTTTCATTGCAAAGATGCGTGACCTTGAATCAAGCCATTCATTCTTAATGTCTGGCAAACAGTGTTCAAAGATTTAAGTGTTTGAATTTTTAAACTGATGGCTCTTTTCCCCTCCAAATTATATGCCATGGGAAAAAGAATTACATCGGGAAAATAATGTTCGTCTGTCCCAGGTGCTGCTAAGTTAATGCCTTTAGGTGAAGGTTTTCATAGGAGAAAAAGGAAAGTGTTTTTTTTTTTTTTTTTTGTCCATTACAGACTCATACAGCCCTCCTAGATAAATTGGCCCTAAATGACCCCTGCCAGCGCCAGGACTTTTTACTCAAGTCTGCATTATCTATTATCTATTTGTCCAGGTGTGCTAGCAGGTGACAGACTGGACGGGGAGTGAGATTCTGCAGAGAATAAAAGTCTTACATTCTGCCAAATGTCCTGGTTTCATGGGTCTGGCTTCTTGTGCCAGTCGATTTTATTGACACAATTGTTTGTCCCAGTTTCAGTACATAATTGGCTAATTTTTTATCTGTGACTGTGAGTCATTTGTTTCTCTTTGATGTTAATTGTATGGAAAGCAGTTGAAAGGAGAGTTCTCTGTGTTTCTCCTCTACCTAATAGGAAGCATGTTTGAAAGTCACAATAGAGGAAAATGAGAGAATCTGATTAGTCAAATGTACCTTTGGAAGATAAATGATGGTCATTGATTGTGTTAGAAGATTCGATTTCTGAGTGATCCCCAATGCTCAGAAGTGCAACACAGCACTAACTCCATTCAACATCCCACTGCAGATCAGAAACTGATCAGCTTTCAAACAAAAACAAACTTTGATAAGAATACCTGCTGAAAAGATGACTCCAAGCTCATCCTTCTTTAATCAACAACTATCTCCTACTTTTTGTTCAGTCTGATTTGTGAAATATCCAGATGAGGAATGCCAAGTGTGCAAAACTTATGACATTTTTAAAGGTTTCACCCAGATGAGTTGTTGTCACTGAAAACTGATATTTCAGAGACCAAATGAAAAAAACTGGGGAAACTTGAAGTTAGACTTCTTGTCTTTGTTCATTTGCCTTAAAGAAATATTTTACAACCTATAGAATACAACTCTTTGAATTTTAAATATTTGTTATGATCTCTTGCTTTTCAATTATGTTATGTCTTTTCCCAAAGTCTGCCTACCAACACCCTAAGAAGAATCCTGTAAGGGCACTTTCCCCAGGCAACCACATCAGGAAATTCTCAAGTAGGAAAACAGTGATTGGAAATTGAAACCAATGAGTCTATGGAATTCATTTTTTTAAAAAATCTCAACCCAACGCACAACACTTTTCATGTCCCAGATGTAGAAACTTATGTAAGTTCGAGAACATATCAAGGTTTTCAAGGAAAACGTAAACGTAATGGAAGAGCAGTGCAATATATGAGGGCCAAGATGGGCCAGATATAGGGCCAGATATAGGCCAGATATGAGGGCCAGCTATAGCCACAAAACCAATAGCAACCCTGTTTTCATTTTCACGGAAAGATCAGACTTTTACCTAATTATCATATCTAGCCTATTTTTGTTAGTACTCACATAGTATATTGAGTGCTTGCTTGACTAATGATTTACACTGTACCAACTGCTAAAGATCATGATAGTAGTAATTTAGAAGCATATCAGTGCAATTTTTTTGTTGTGCTGATTCAATCAAAATATTATTCCCAGTTCCCTTTTAATGGTTTTACTGAAGCAATTTAAAATATTCTGCTATTAGCCATCCATCTTTAACACTTTCCTTTTTGAAGCTAAGAAACAATTTTAAATTTAGGATGTGGGTAGAGATGTATGGATTCACATACATATAAATCTGATTTTATTTTCAATAATGCATTTCTATTAACTTTGTTCTGTAGATTATTTATATGCAATATTACTTTGGAAGTGGCTTGATGAGGTATATAATAGGGTATTTTTCTGGGCTGGCTCAGATAGTTCTGATCAATAGAATTAGTAACACCATCTACCCCTAAAGTATATATTTATCCCCTGCATGACATAGGAGCTAGAGAGACTCATAAGGGAATGGTGAGGAAAAAACACAGAATGGGAAAGAGATGTTAATTAGAGTAACAAAAATGAGATTATAATTATTATACAAACTATAATTAGTGCCATTCGAGAAAGAACATATGAAAGAGGGTCAAGAAAGAGTTTCTGGAGAAGTGATGTTTAAGTTGACAGCTAATGAAGAAATAGAAATTATTAGTCAGAGAAGTACAG